CTAATTCATTGTTCAACATATTACTAAATGATCTCTGCATAAGAAAAGAATATAGGAATTCTGAAACATTCGAAAGTAAGTTATTATACTCTTAAAAAAGTGATGCCAAAGAGAAGGTAAAACAATGAAGAAAGGAATAAAATATAATATCTACTTCTTTTGTCTTATGTCTTCAAGAAATGTATATAAATATAGATATTACTACATTTTGTCGTTCTTCAAATTGTTTTAAAACAACAACCTCTTTTACAAAAATCATGTATTCCACCGACCACCCTTCTTTTCCTCGCCAGGGTTTTCCATTTCTCGTATGCCCTAGCACACGAAGCGGATACAAACAATATATCCACGATGAAGAATTATTTTACATAATCAACTCCTCACATTGTTCTTATGAATCTAGATATCCTCATTATATCCGTCTTCTATATGGGTGCAATAATAAAAAAGGAGAACCAAACGGTTTCACATGCAAAGCTTGCTCGCTTACAACATTTGGCACTACTTATTACTTTTGCGATCAATGCGATACAAGTTACCACAAAGAATGTGTTGAGTCTCCACCTCAGATCAATCTCCCAGCTTATCATCCCAAACATCCTCTCCAACTTACACAATATTATTATTTTTCAGAAACGTACTCTGCGTATGGTACTATCCCATTGTTGTGGAAACCTTAATAAAGTTTTGTTTTATTATTGTTCTATATGTGATTTTAGTATCCATCCAATTTGTGCAAGTAAACCACTCCTCTTTATAGACCACCCAAAATGCCATGAGCATACGCTCCTGTATTTTCACAGGAAAGCGTCTCTGACTTGCAACCTTTGTGGATCCGACGATGAGAGGTATTTTATCTACATATGTCTCCAATGCGATTTTATTGTCCATAAAATGTGCATCTACTTACCAAGAGTCATAATGGTATCTCGTCACAACCACCGTCTGTCTCTTACGTCCTCACTTTCTTATGGGAATTGGTTATGCGGAGTTTGCCACACAAAGATAAACGAAAGTTATGGAGAATATCTTTGTGTGAAGGGATGTAAATTTGCTATTCACTCTAAATGTGCAACACAAAGCGATGTATGGGATGGAAGAGAACTTGAGGACGAGCCAGAAGATGAATATGAAAATACTATGTTGTTTGTAGAGCTCGGTGATGGTACTATACGATATTTCAGTCATCCACATCATCCCTTGAGGCTTTTTGAGAAGAACAATGGTGTGTATGATGAGAACACGTATTGCCAAGCATGCACTCTTCCTCTTTATGACGAAAGTATCTACAAATGTGAGCATTGCGATTTTAAGCTTCATCAAACATGTGCAAACCTTCCTCGAAGGAAACAACATATATCGCATATACATCCACTCATTCTACAAGAGAGTCGTGGAAACACTTACCAATGCGACACTTGTTATCAACTATTCTCTGGCTTCTTGTATGTGTGTTCCAAAGGTTGTCATTTCGGTATAGACATAAGGTGTAGTATGGTTTCTGAGCCATTTGATCATCTATGTCATCCACATCCTTTGTTCTTAAGATCAGATTATGGAAATTGTTGGATATGTTCAAGACGTCACAAATATTATCTAGATTGCATTGCTTGTGATTCTTCTTCGTGTTTTCGCTGCGCCACTTTACCACATAAAGTAAGGTACAAGCATGACCATCATTTTCTCATGCTTTCACGAGTGGAGCACCGAGATGGAGAGTATTGGTGTGAAGTATGCGAGACATATATAAAGACAACTTGTATATATGCATGCAACATTTGTAGCATCACGCTCCATATTGACTGTGCAATTGGAGATATATATCAGAAATCTGGTCACAGTTTCCAAGGCTACGAATGGAAGGTTGATGTTCTTCCCAATAATAGTCTTACTCGACCCACCTGTTGTTGTTGCGACCGTCGTTGTGAGCACAATGTATATTTCAATATCTTTCGTAAATCACGTGGTGTATTAATAATTTGTTCTATGTCATGTTTGATGCGT